TGACGGATATTGAAGCAATGATAGCATTCGAGGCGGTCGTCATACGCCTTGAGCACAGCCTATGCAAGGAAGTGTGGGTGCAACTTGGCTTCGCCATCTCCCCTTTGAACGACTAAAGCAGACATCACAGAGCCATTCGACGGCCCTCAATACTCATGGGAACCGCCCGAGGCACTTTGGCTTTCTGTGCACGGGAACGTCCTGAGAGATTTCGGATGTGTACTTGTAGGCGAGAAGATGGCTTCTGACCTGCAGAAATTGTACTCCTTTTGCGCCTTACAACTTGTTGCTCACCTTCACCATCTTGATCGTCAAATTCGTCTGATCGCCAGCGAGGTCGTACTACATAATCTTTTGTAGATGGTTGTGGAACGCGAGCACGACCAATCCAGCCTGGATCCCCGGGTCTAAGAAGTCTAGAATACAATTATTTTTATATAATTTTAACCAATGAAGCATCATAGTGTCTTAGAGTGAGACTCAATGCATGATAGTCTAGATGTCGTGAAATAAGATAATATATACTCTCGTAATGTATAGATATTTCAAAGGTATGAAGACCAAGATGGTGTGGCCTTTTGTGTGGTCTCAGTCTCCTTTCGTTGTATAAAAGTTGTTTGATCTTGTTTTCACAACTTGGTCATATTGGTAGGAAGACTTAGAAAAACGCACCTTGTCCTGAGTCTATTGTGTGTATAATCATTTCCAAAGTCAGACCGTGGACGTGGTACATTCCCAGACGTTTCGCCCTACTCTGCGTCTTGGTGACTAATTAGAGGCTAAAGCCTCTGAGTAAGTCTAATGGTCAGGCCTTTGCCACATGGACCACGTCTCTTATAAAACCAACTGTCAGCCCACTAGCTCCCATCGCCGTCACATCTATCCTGTTTTTATCTATAATACCAAGTCTATGACTTCCCATTCCGTAGTCTCTTGTGTGCAAACCCACAAATGTTGTGATTATGCTTGCATGACTCGGTTCAATGTTGAACCACAACGTTTGTGGGTTGGCACACAAGAGACTAGAACATGGGAAGTCATAGACTTGGTATTAGAAATAGAAACAGTATAGACGCGGCAGCGATAGGAGCTAGTGGGCTAACAGTAGGTTTTATAAGAGAAGTAATCCATGTAGCAAAGGCCTGACCATGAGACTTACTCAGAGGCTTTAGCCTCTAATTAGTCACCAAGACGCAGAGTAGGGCGAATAATGCCCCGAGTGGCATAGATGGGGTGGCAGGGGTCGAGTGAAATATGTGAACCAGGGAGAAGGCAGACGGATCCTATGGTGCAAGAGTGAGACTCTGATAAGACCTATGGAAAGAGGACTGCGTCACAATATGGCAGAATCTGATCAGCATTCCTAGCACAAGGATGAAGGGGGTGAGAAGGCCAGCGTGGAGTGCGAAGGGTTCTCAAGAAATCCCCTCAAAAGAGCACACGGTACCACATCTAATTAGGCAAGTAAAAAAAGTGTGACAGTGAAGGCGTGATAGGATATAGGAAATTTGAATAGGCCAGGGCAGAAGAAGAGATACCATAACTGTTTTGCACACGTTTGGTCAAAGAATCGGCTCAACTTGCTTATTTGACGAGTTATAATATAGTGCTACGAATGGCAAACGTCACTGACGATGCCGACTACCATGCCGGAGAAACGTCTAGGAATGTACCACGTCCACAGTTCGACTTTGGAAATGATTATGCATACAATGGACTAGGAGAAGGTGCGTTCCTCTAAGTCTTCCTATCAATATGACAAAGTTGCGAAAACAAGGTCAAACAGCTTCAATAGATATTTCCTTTGGGGACTTTTATTAGGATTGATGCAACGCTGTGTTTACACCTGTGTGAATGCACGTTTGTGCGAATACTAAACCAGTAATCGCTTTTGAACTATTAGAATAGTGTAACGCTGTTTTAGGTTAGGATTAATAACCTTTTTCAACCCATAGAAATCCATCAAAGATGGCGTTAGTGTCAATATGAAGAATCTTATTGGCGATCTTTCTGTGTAATATCAGATGCCTAGAAGTCACAACATTATTTAAATCCTATGCCTACTGGCAGAAAGTAAGTATATGGTAGGATTAATTAGACAGAATAGAGTCAAAGCAGTGGAGCCGTGACAACG